ACACACACACACACACACACACACACACACACACACACACACACACACACACACACACACACACACAGACACAAATCACGCACGGAGGGAATGTCAAGCAGTGCTGTGCAAGCTGCGTGCAGCAGACAGAGAGGCGTCTGGGTAAAATATGAGCCCACAAACACACACACACACACACATACACACACACACACACACACACATACACACAGAGACACACACACCTCTGCCAGTGTGTAAGTGAGACGTCAGGGTCACCACGATGATGATGATGATGACACTGGCTGCATGGCACAGAGGAGGAATGGGCCATATTTCATGCAGTGCGTTGGTCATATTCTATATGTGGAAGTAGCAGAGAGACGCCTCGCGTGTCGACCGGGCTCGCTGTGTGAAACTGGATTGTGGTTACAGTGGATGCACACAGTTTGTCAAAGCCGCTGTTAAACCTGTTATGTTTTACAGTGAGTCTGTTTAATGCCGTGCTGTGAAGGAGTGTTGGTGCCTTTTTACGGATTTCTACAGTTCCTAACTGTTTCAGCTCAGCAAAGATAAACCACGTGAATACAAAATACAGTTGTCAAATAGTGAATTTTTCAATTAAGAGAAAAGGCTATCCAAAGCTGAGTTCAGTTTCATTATCCACACCCAGGTCTGGTTACTGACAGACCCTTAGAATGAAGAAATCATTCAAACAAAGCTGGAGAAAACACAAAACCATCTGACCAAAATTAGTCAGAGAGCACGTCAACTACTCAGGAGGTCCCAAGACAGCATCCACAGCTCTGCAGAGTTCACTTGACTTATGAGGTCAGAGATCACGATTCAAGGAGAAGAAAGAGACGAAGGACAAGAATGTCATTCCTACCGCCAAATTTACTGCAGAGAAAAAAAAAGAACACGAACGCCTCATCTCACATTTCTCACAAAAATATCTTGATTATCCCAAAGACTTTTGGAAAAATGTCCTGCAGACAGACGAGACAAAAGCAAAGCCTTTTGGAAGGTGACCATCCGGTTACAGCTGGCTTTAAACTAACAGAACATCATAACAAGTCAGACATGGTGGAGGTGGTGATTTCCCCCGGGGCATCTTTTTCACATTTTTTATTTTTTATTTATTTTTGTTCTTTCCAGGTGATTTACTCTCTGAATATGAGGAACGAGGAGCAAGAAGCAGCCTTACAGGCCTTAAACCACGCCCACCATGATGAGCTGCACCGCATCCTGATGGACACGTGCCACGAGGGGGAGGGGTCAGCGCTGAGGACACGCCTCCTTGATCTACAGGAGTCGCTGGATGAGCAGCAGCGGGTTGGGGCACAGGTATGTGCATTAGTGAAAAAAGACAATATACAGTATATGTGCTGGTCATAAAATTAGAATATCATGAAAAAGTAGATTTATTTCAGTAATTCCATTTAAAAAGTGAAACTTGTATATTATATTCA